GCTTCAAAAGACCTAAATTTGAAGGTTGGTGAGCAGACTCGATGTAAACAGTAGATACAAGGAGATGTTGATCATTGTTACCAGTGACCATCACCGACTTGTTAGGCCTAATTCGCATGGTCCGATTCTGCTTTATATTTTCAGTATCGACGTCGACCATCTCAGCTTCGGTTCACGCTTTTGCAGCCCGAGCGACGTTGCGACTGAAAATAGCGAGCGAAATCTCATCATGCGAATCAGGCTTTAGCGTGCATTCTGCAGCGTCCACACGGAATGAATCGCCGCATGTCACATTATTTACGCGAAGTTTTGCGGTGTAACGAGCCTTGTTAATTTCGCTGAGGCCGCTCAAGTAGTCAGACATTGCCAGGAAGACGTAGAATCAACAATTCGAACGCAAAAAAGGGCAGGGGGACTCACACAGACGCCGATAACATCGCATTTCAATGGTTTGTTTATGGGCGACGGCGAGCGTCTTGCCCACACCCCCATCGCGCATGCGCGGCGCCGGTGGCGTCCGCTAGAGGCGTTCCGGGCGCTCCGGTTTGTTTGTAAACATGAGTTGGTGTATAGTCGAGTGATAATTTGTTTCTCGAAGTCGTTTTGCCAATCACTTATTGTCGTGTTATGTTCAATTGATTTTTCTTTTTTCGCCTCACCTTACGCACCCGATACGCGAAGCTTGAACACCGTAGTCATTGACAGAATTAGAACGGCGGGGCGAGTCATTCAAATGCCCGGCTTTCAGCACGCGCGTTATGCCTTTCGGCGTGCTTTGGCTGCACGCGCGCGCTCGACGTGCACACGAGAGACACCGAAGAGTCGTCGAAGGTAGGAAGATCGCGCTGGAGGCGGGGCAACCAACGCCTCGTCCCTGCCTCTCCAAAGAGTATAGACCGCGTAAATAAATGCGTCGATAAATGTCACGAGCGCGGCAAATGAAACCGGATGCTGCAATCATGAATATACATATATATAGCACGGAACGGCTGGCCAGAAGGCGCGCCGGAGCAATACTAGTGGCGCCGCGCTCTGGTGCAAAACTGCCCTCCATTGCAGTACGGGTCCGGTTGCAATGGCGACGAACGCGTTAAAGTTCTACTGCGGCCGCGTTGCCACATCATTGTGGCTTTTTGTCTGTTAAAACTTATTATTTTTTTTTTTAGGAGGCGGATTTTTGCAAAGGAGGTTGCATGAGTGCCAGGTCTCTGGGGTGGAGGACATAATTCTGGCATAAAAAATTTGTTGACAGCGAAGTTCCTCTTGCAAGTGCAAGACAGCCGCGCCCACGACAACCGCCTCAAAATCAATTACGTTTTTATTTTTTTATGGTTTTGCTCCCTCTTGAGGGTCAGAGTTATTCGTACAAATATGAGGATGCTATATTGTTCAAATTGCCTTCTCGTGCACGACTGCGATGTCGCCAAAACTCGGTAAAGTGCTCTTAAAAAATGGGAGTGACCGACTGCTGGAAGCATGCCGCGGCTGTTTTAATTTGTGATAATGAAGTGAATGACGAGGCAGGCACTGCCAGACCGCAACACTGGGTCAAGCTGTATAAAAAAAAATACCGAAGCGGGACGCGAATACGGCCACAGCTCATCTGTTCCCAGTCGTTTTGAGCCGGGTCGAAGAAAATTAAAATAAACTTTTACTACACGCCGGACACCTTGTGTTTGAGCACATGTACCGCTACCGTCAGAGCGGCAAAATCGTAATTCACGCACGTGCGTCAGTAACCCCCTCCTACTAATACATTGTAAAAAGAGTGATTTCCAATCGACTCGCATTTCCGCCACTGCCTATTGTAGAAGCGTATGCACTTGGGCTAGTTGGTGATCCATGTTACTGTCTTTTGTCACCTTTCTAATGTGACGACAGAATTATAATTTTTAGCACAGTTGTGAGTGACTACAAATAAGTCTTTGGCGTGATTCTTTTGTGTTATTTGCTATTTAGGCGCAGTTATACTTGCAGGCACGTAGCCGTGACCCTCTCCCCCCCCCCCCCCCCCCCCCCCCCCCCCGAAATCTGTTATTTTGCATTTTGCTGGGGCCTCTTCTCCCCTCTCCCCCTCATACATCATTTTGTCATGGGCGGCGGCCCCGCCCCCCCCCCCCCCCCCCCCCCCCCCTCCCCCGGAACAAAATCTTGGCTACGTGCCTGATATCTAGAACACCTTACCATAGAAAAGTATCGTGAATATTACTTTTCGCTACGAAAAATGTAATTAATTTTGCATTTCAGACATACATTTTCCGTTGTTTACCTTTATGAGGTGTCTTGTCCTGGTCTCCTTTATGTTTCTTTTATTTTACACATCTAAATCGCCAACGCGCTCTGATTCGTCGACCCAGAAATGCTGCAGTGTCTAATTTTTAGAGTTCCCTGGAAAGTAATTAAACCGGTTGTGGGCTAACAACGTCATTTTAATAATACATAGGAGAACTAGAGTACAGCCTTCAATTTATTTTCAATTGTGGGTTTAAGTAAGTACGCAATAGAGGCTACGATTATCTGCCTCATTTTACCTCGTGTCGTTCTGCCACTTACTCGCTCTCTCTTGTAAGCATCGGGGGACAAAATTGGCGGACAAGCAAAGTGAGCTTGATTCTCAAATTTAAAGTTGTTTAAAAAATGTTAAAGGTATATTAGGGTTTCTTTTGTCGACCGACACGGGGAGCCATCGTGCCTATACTACATTAGGTACTTATCGTACCACGTCAGCTGCGAATTGCGGGCAATGCGGGTACGAGCTCAGCCCGCCCTCAAAGTGACTGCTCCCCCACCTAAGCGAGACAAAACTTTTGCATGCTTTCGTGCGTGATCTACGAATAGTCCCTATTAACGTGACAAGTAAGCGTAGCTGTACTACTGAATTATTCGACAAGATAGAGAAGCAATAATTAACCACGCTCTCCGCACTGCTGGCGATTCATGCTTCTGGCTATTTTTCTCGATTCACCTCCCAGGAGCCGAATAAATCTTTTCGGGAGACACATATTTACCTTTCTGTTTAATAAGATGCTGTGACATTTGAGTACACAGCAATACTTGGTGTCCTGTATTTTTGCATTGGGTGGATTATTTCCCGAAGCGCGAGGCCAGTACGCCAAGCGCACCAGCCTCCCGCGTCGTCTGCTCCTAGCACTGCTAACAAGTATGTGCTCCCATCGCCAGGGGGAGGGGCGGCGCTGCGTATGTACGGCGAAACTTTAGCCGCACAAGTTTACATACCTATAGAGAGAGATTGCTCGCAGTACTTGTCTCAATGCACCACGAGGGGGACCAGGTACAGACGGCGTTATTGCAAACAAATAATACACTATTGCTAACGGTTTATTTGAAGTGACAGAGCACAGAGAGAACAAAACAACCAAGGACAAAACTGACTTCGATCTGCGCTGTCGCAAGCAGAAAGCTTCAGAGGCGTCGAAAAACCTGGGATTTACATTTATAGAAAATTGCACTTGTCAAAATGCAACTAAAATTGGTACGACAGTTCTTTTTAAAGCTTCTGTGGATTTTTTCATTTGCTTTTGTTAATATTTTTTTTCCTTTCTCTTTTTTGATGCAAACGAGCTGCAGCAATATCCATGGAAATAAGATGACCAATCTGAAACTATGAATTCCGACGATAGGATTCGAGATTATATTATCGATATACGGATGCAAATACAATACGACAAAAATTGCACTATAAAAGTGAAGAAGGTAAAAATATATAGATTCAAGGTGCGCTTAAGTTTGAATGACGGAATCAACTGTCGAGTCTACAGCCTTGAGTGGACGTAAAAACAACAATACAAGTATGCAAAAAAAAAAAAAAAATGTTGACAAGAGTAGCGGTTTTACAGATGTGGCATGGCGCATAAACATACCTTCAAGGGTCGTATGCTAGCGGCATCAAGAACTGAATCGCATCAACTTCTGTTACATAAATCTGTCTGGCAAAAGACTATATTTTTTTATTCAGATCATTTCGTCTTTGGAGATCCTCCAGCGTTTATCAGAACTACCACATCCGGTCGTACTGGCCGAAACATCGTCAATTTAATGCAACAAACCCGTATTAAAAGTTAAAACTGTCGTATTACTACATTGCGCGAAATAAAACTGATATTTCTCCCTCACCAAAAAACAGAATAATAAAAGCATACTCCGTATATACTTCTATTGTGCTATAAAGGAGGTAGAGTATACATATAAAATAATAACAGCACCCGAATAACTTAAGCAGCTCACCAGACGTATGGGCCTTGTAACCGATACGAGTGCTTATATTTTTATTTCTTTTATATAATATATGAAAACATTTTACCGAAAAAAAATTCTCGAACGCAAAATGTAAAACGACTAAGCAAAATGTAAAACGACTATGCGACTCAGCAAAAACGCACGTGTCGATATTGCCTTATAATCATTCGGGATGCTATATTGTATTAGTGTATACGTCGCCTTTATCGAGTTCGTTTCAGCGAGCGGCGATAGCTGGTTGTACTCTGGTCGAACGCCAGTCACTGCTGGTTCGGCGGAAGGGGCGCAAACAACAGGCCGACATACGCAGAAACTACAAGCAGCGAGCGAAACGTCGCGCTTTTTTATTCTAACAGAGGGGCCGATTGACACGGTGCAATTTTACTCGCAATTTCCGCAATGGCGGCGTCGCTTGTGCGGCAGGAAACCTTTCCAGCGTTGCGCTCATCATCCCGGTAAAAATCGCCAAGTCATTGGACTGTGGAAGCATGCGCGGCGCTTGATATTCCTCAAAAGAGAGAGCCACTGCACACGCTCAGGACGCGCCCCGCAGCGCAGTAGCCAAAGATGGCGACGCGCAGAAGCCGATCCCTAGAATGCTCAGTCCTTTTTTTTTATTTGCGAAGGTCGGCACAATGAAATTGGCTTCTCCGGAACCGCGTCACAATTTGTACGTTGGCCACAACTCGGCGTCGTTCACCCGCGGGTCTGCCCACTATATGGTAGGCATTCTAAGCGCTCACCTGAAGCCGTCGATGTCCACTCTGTAGAGCCAATTCCCGAGGGACGTCTCCCGGAACACCGACTCCAACTGAAACGGAAGAGCTCGTAGTAAGAAGCGACATGTGGGAGCACGTGGGCCTCGATCGTGTCTGAAGTTGTCCGAGTGTACACAGGCGGATAACCGCAGTCCCTCAAAGGGGTTCTCAAGCTCTATTAGCGCCGAGATCTTTCGGTGGCGCCCTCTTATGGTTTCCCTCCGTGACGTCACGACTGGGATTTGCCTCGCCGTGACGTCACCGGTTGTTATTCTGGCTACTTACCATCGGGTGCGACGACGAGTTCGATGGTGTGTTTAAAAAGCACAGTGGAAGCTAGGAGCCATCGCAATCCGAAACTAACACCGTCAAAGTTGACAATCTGACAGTGCTCATATGCCCATGGTTTGGCCAATCGTGGAAAGCTGACCACAGCGACGCTTTTGGCCGCGCACATCGCTAATAGTCGGATGCAGCCTGAGAACAATCTTTTAGCTCCACCCACAAGCGCATTGCGCCCATCTGAAGTGCGTCCGCCGTCGAGAAAGTAGTTCGCTAGCAACGTTGCTTTTTCTTCCTCCAGCTGGAAACGTGTCTTAAACTACTATAATATTTATTTAATTCATTCAGGACATTTAAATAAGTTAGAATACGTTTTTGTCAACGAAATAGCTGTTTAGTAAAGAAAGAAAGTCATGTCCAATGTACCGTCTTCCCAATTCATTTTCTGTCCAAGATTCTGTCTAACATACCGTCTTCCAGCTCTCAGCAGTGCTAAGCCTCGCGCCCGCTTCGAAATTTTCGTTGGTGATAGCGTCGCTGGATTCTCACGTTGTCGCGCAAAAACTGCTGCAAACGCAAGCCGATACCATTAAGATTTCGTGGTGTAACCTCGGGCACGTAAAACACGGTGCAAAAAAGCAGAATAATTGTCACGAGAAACTAGCGTCGCGTTGCTAAGGCCAGCAGCCATGTTGGGCTTTTCTTTTTTTTTTTTTTCAAAAGGATCGCGATTGGTTTACGGAATCGTGACGTCATGAAAACGATTGGCTGGCGTTTCTCGGCGTAGGATTACATTTTCCTCTGAGAGGCATTTCCGGTTTTTTCTTAGCTTGCAACCGACTATAGTAGATTCTGTTAACCATTAAAAACCTGACCTGGGGCGGTGACGGCATAATATCGAGGAACGCTTTGTGCGCAATTGCACTGCCCATACATCATTTAAAAAAATGCAATGGGAGTCGTGACGTCGTACGCCCGCTGCGCAATCCGTTGGTGCTTTCTGATCCGCCACGTGCGTCGTGGGATGACGAGGAGGGCCAAGCATCTCCATTCGGGAACCAGCTGCGCGCTGACTGATTCCTGCTACAGCAGACCCTCATAAGCCATACTTGGTCCTGCTGCAAAGGGGTCGGGCTTGGATCACACGGTCCGATGTTCGACTCCTAACTGAGCCGCTTGGCAAATCTCGCTTGTTACGATTAAATAGGCCGAATTACGATTACGTGTGATTGACTCCGACTGTGACCTCCCTTTGGTTGCTTATAAAATACGTGTCCTACCATGGGCTGAGTATGCTTTGCTCCCTGACCCGTATGTAACGCTTTTTCGTCACACTTTGGTGTAACGCTTTTCGCCTGAAATCTAACCCCTACACACATTGTGCGTGGTAAAACAACAACAATCGCGAAAATGAAAAGCATCGCCCCGCACATGGCGGCTAAAGCGAGGGGGCACAAATTAAGTGACCTTTACACGCAGAGCGACGGCGACTCCGGCAAGAAGAGCCGGTCTGTGTCAGCGGCGAGACGGTCCGCCGCCATCCAACCCTAGCCCCGAGGACTCGACGTCAAAAACGCTGCCCCCAAAATTTCGCCCCAACGATGACACGAGGCAGCGTGACTCCACCATGCGCGGAACGAACGAGATACCACCACGGAGCGCGGAAATATTTAAAACAAAAACTATCTGCGATGAGTTCGCTTTATGATGAATCCGATGTACTTTTAGCTAGCGGCTAAGAGCCTAGAGAGTCGAGCGATGATACGCTCCGTCGAAAAATGCGCTCAGACGCGTTTCACGCATCAAAGGGCCTTTGATGAGGCAGACATGCGTGCTTAGGTATCTATGGTTTCTATGGTAATACGAGCCATAAGAGCATAGAAAAAAAAAAAAAAAAAGGATTGTAAGACTTAAAAAAGTTTTGTTTTACCCGCAAGAAGAGAGAATGGACTTTCATCCACTTGCGATGACAACAAACAATAAAATATTTGAGAATTAATAATTCGACTGAGCCGCCTTCTCCTTAATAATTAAGATATCTTCATTATTAAGAACCGTAAGATTAATAAAACATAAATTTAAGAGACACTCAAGAAAATATACTGAAAACACGTATTTCAAACAAAATGTTGAAATGCAGAGTCTCGGGGAGTTCCGGCGTCTTTAATTTCCGTCGTCTATGACACCGTGTTTTTATACGACTGATCCTCTTGCTTCAGTTTCGCTCTGTTCGTTTTTTCTATGCAAAAAGGCGACCCCGCGGCGAGAAAAAAAAAATAACTGCGTGGTTTCTTCACGTCATAATCTAACGCTTCGCACAAAATAGAATAATTTTGAGCGCTGTGAGAGTGAATCTTGTGCTCCTATAATAACTCGTATTGTTTTCCAACATAACTATGGAAACGGTTTATTTCGTTGAACTAAAAACTTTATAACTCTTACTAAATAAAAGTGATACATAAAGTGGCTTTTTATGGACTTTTTTTTATGGAATTAAGCACCTGTCTTTTTATGCTACGTTAACCTCTAACATTTCCCGGGTATCACGACTTATATTCATGCTGTCCTCGGACAAATGTGGAAGACACATTTTACGCCTCGTAGCAGTCAGAATATCAGAAACGAATCCAGCAACCATACTGCTCCGGTAATCACCCGCCAAGTCAACATAGCTTACTCACTAAGTCATCATTAGAACTGAGCAGCCTATGGACATCCCGATGCAATGGCGCGTTGGTGCGCACCGAAAACGACCGGAATAATTCTCTGCGGGATGCTACACTCTCTATATAGCCACTGACGGCTTAAGAAGACCAGGGCGCAGCTTCTTATGTTCACAGTTTTCGTGATTCGTTCTGCAGCAATCTTATTAGCCAGGGACGTTCGAGACTTTCCTCGTCCCGCGCTTCTAAACGCTCCAAGTGACATTAAACAATACAGGTTTTTCTCAGATCACTGGGAGAAATAATCTCCGCAATCCTCGAACAGAGCTCGACGAATGCCCAGGTGGTACAAACATAATCAATAAGTGAAAGCTGCAATGCCGTAAAGAGCAACGCATCTTCACTCGGGAGCCAGCTGCGCGCCGACGGATGCCTGCTTCAACAGACCTAGATAAGCCACGCTTAATCCTATATATATATATATATATATATATATATATATATATATATATATATATATATATATATATATATATATATATATATATATATATATATATATAAATAAGTATAGACGGGTGCTTTTCCCGCTTACTCGTGCCTCGGTGCTCTTTGATACGGGCGTCAACAATCATACTTGCAAAACAAACATGAGGCCCACGTAACGTCGAAAAGATAAGTGAGAGCGGACAAATCTCTTACCAATTTCCGCATTGTGTAGGCCAGGTATCGGTACTCGTGGGTGTTGTGATCCCCGAGCAGCGGCGACCAGTCCCAGCCGTCGACGATCTTGACGATGCCGGCCACCTTGACGACGGGCTGCTCGACCTCGTTGGAGACCGTCGGCTCGGTCACGTTGAAGAAGGTCGTCCTCCAGGTGGTCGGCTTGGTGCGGGGCCTCCGGGTTACGTTCAGCAGCCGGGTGTACGCGTCCAGGTCGAAGTTGGTGCCGTTGTGCAGTGACGGCTTGGGGCCGATCGGGAATCCCTTGCGGACGGGCTTGCCCGTCGAGATCCTGATCCTGGGGCCCCGGAGAGGCCTCGGCGACGTCGCCTTCGTGTGCGGTCGGGTGCGGGCGCGGTCGAAGATCTTGGTGAGCGCGCGGATCGTCGGCTTCGTGCCCAGGGTCGTCCTACGCGTGCTGCCGATGATGCCGAACGGAGCCCTGGTGCCTCGGCCCACGTGGACGGCGGGTTTCCGCGTTGGAGCCCCCGGAAGTCCCGGAGTCGTCCGTCGCGTCGGGAGGTTCAGCCCGTGCTTGGCGTGGGCCAAGTTGTGCCTCGCGACGAGGCCCCCCGGCGGCGTCGATGGCTTGGGAGTGGTGCGTCGGGTGGGCGGGCTGTAGCGCCGCGAAGGTGAGCTGGAGCTCGGGGGACCCGGGGTGACGGGCCTCGTGGGGTTAACCAGGGTCACGGGAACAGTCACATTGTCCTTGGTAGTCACGAAGGTCTCGTTCTGTTCGTCGGTGTACGTGACGCTCACGATGAAGGAGGTGGCCGTCCTCGGAGCAGAGCTGTTGCCGCTCGAAGTCTCTGGACTTGACGCATTGACGACGGGGACGGAGGTGACGGCGGGAGGAGCTGTGGTGGCCGTAAGACCTGCGTCGCTGGGTTCTGTGGACGATGCTCGCTGCCGGAGCACTACAGAAGCAGGTTCTGAGCCGGTCTTATTACTGCTGTACTCGGTCATGAATGTAGCGTTCTCAAACTGAACGCTGGAGTCAGCAAGCGTCTCCTCTTGGAAGGGTTTGTTCGGGGACAGTGTGGTAAGGTTAGGTGAAATGGCCTGTGCAATGGCAGCGTCGAGGTAGCTAGCTTGCACCGACAGAGCAGCGGTAGAATTGCTTGACGGCGATGTCTCGTTTCTCGCGTTGTCAGCTTCCTGCACCGGAATGACATTAATGCCAACTTCTTCAAGGGTTGAGGTGTTCGTTTGGATCGCAGCACTAGAAGTAGTCGCATTGAGACTGGCTTCCGAACTGTTCACAATATTCGAAGTTGAGGGCGTGCTCAATAAGGTGGTCGGAGAGTAGGTAGACTTCTTAACCGCCGGTGCCCTCGTAGGTTTTCTCTTAAAGCTCCGAATCAGAGCCGCCTTTCTCGAGAACGGACGTAACGTGAAGTTGGTCGTCGCATTTTCCTCGGCTGACATTTGCTCCGGCTTTTCGGGAGTCGGGTTGGAGTACTCGACACTCGAGAACACCGGCGCCGCTGTGCTGAGGTGAGGTTCCGCTGACTTGTTTGTGGAGACCTGTCTCGTTTTCTGACTAGAAACGACCACCTGCGGAGGACTAGCGTCGGTGACGTCGACTGTACTGTTACCGGATGGGATTTGGACGGTTGCTGAAGCGGGCGTTGTCTTCGTCTCTTGAGTGGACGTTGCTACGGTTTCAACGCTGGAGTCTGGGGAGGCCTCGGACTCGTTTGTTTTCGCCGTCGGCGCCTCATCGGTGATGGTGGCGTTACTGCTGTTCGGGTCGCCACTACTACTGCTGTAGGCTATGGACGGCGTCGGCCACGTGGTGTCTTGTTGCCTCGTTGTCGACTCGACCGCCGACGTCCCTGCATAAAAATACTAAACGTAAGTATATGTGTTCCGGAAATAATACAGCTTCCAACGCTACGAGGGAAAGTCATTATATCTGATATAAGTAGTCACCAATTTCCAAATATGCCAATAGGCGGCAACATAATCCGGCTTGATATTCACTGCGCACTAACTAGGTAACAGTCACACGCATGAGCAGCTCAGTTTAAAAGCGACGACACTGCTCGAGGAGTGTACGCTAGAAGAGCAGCGTGCTGTTTAGCATTTCTGTGGGCAAAAGGGCATCCTGCAAAAGATATTCGCAAAAATATGATTCCTGCTTACGGTGAGAAGTGCTTATCGCGTAAAACGGTGCGCAACTGGGTTCAGAAATTGCCCCAAATGCGCTGAAATGTTGTTGACGACGATCGAACTGGTCGTGCTGTCGAGATTGCGACAGGAGCAACAGTGTGGCAGGTGAAAAACGATTCGAATCGACAGCTGTTGGGGCACTGGTAAAAAAATGAGATGCATGTGTCAAATTGTCAATGTTGGGGGAGGATATGTGTAGAAATAGAAAGTGCGTCACCAGCCTTTTCTTTTTTTAATAGACGTTTGTGACTCGCGTACTGACCCCCTCGTATTTTAACAACTTGTGCCCGGTCTTATGTTTGTAGTAAAACGATTCAGCGGAAAAAAAACTGCTTCTAATGTATGTTAAAACTACATTATTGAAAAGAAAAAAAATATCCCTGCTCTGTCAGTTTATACCACAGTCGTCATTTCTCATCGAGTACGGGACAGCTTAAGAAAAGTGAGGCGTTGCTTATTATATTAACGTTGCTTGCTTTGCGATTTGTTGTTCAGCCTTCGTCTCGGCTGACAAAATACCATTGGCTACGGTGTTATAGAAGAGCCCTCCGGCGTCACCACGACCTGAGTTCCTTAAGCTGTCAAAGATTAGATGAGATTAGATTAGGAGATTAGAGCGCAAATAAGGATGTGATCATTTTTGTGGGGGTGTGCGAAGAGTGCTTCGAACTGAACAGCGCAATGTCATTCCTAAGTTCAACACTGCAAAGAAAACCGGTATTTCCTGGCTTTCCCTCGCACTATGAAGGCTATGAATGACGCGGCGCCATTCGATTCCAGCCCCTCTTCGCACACTTCTGAATGTTTGCTATTTCATTAAACGTTTTTGTTATGTGTTTAGAATAAGTTTGACCGAGCGAGCGTCTTGGTATTTCAACAGAAGGCGAACCAATACGCAGAGAAAGTAGAAAAACGCAAATTCGCTAACCATAAAAAAACATTAAAAATATATATATCGAACAAGCCACTGAGGTTCTGCGTTTGTCGTTTATTTCCTTCGAGAATTTTCCGGCAGTTTCGAGTTTTGTGCTCACACAGAAAAGAATTCGACCAATATTTTTTTTTTGTTGCATATTTACGACCGAGTAAGATGCAAAACTCAAAGAATGAGAGCATACCGTGGGGCGTGAACAAATATCGGCAATTTGCGATGCCACGTAAAAAATATGCGTGGCTGGAAAAAGAAAAAATATTTTTTTTTAGAAAGGGCGTTATTTTCGCAACTTTCTTTTGTGTAAGTGCAGAATTCTAACATCGATTGAAAAGATAAAATGGCTCCAACTCGATGCTATGGTGATGGTCGCACTTGCCAAGCAGTTTCTTTGAAGCTTTTTCTATCTCGAATGCGCGTCAGTACCAAAAGGCGACAAATGAAATGTGAACATTTCAGGGCTTGGTTTTAGTATGAAGGCTCTCCCACACGCATTCAGGGTCGCTTTCCACTTTTCACGTCTGTTTTTATTCTATGTTACCCGCGCGAGTCACCAAGGCGGTCAGCACTTCTGGCATGACTTGCGGAAGATGTACGAATAGTAAGAGCTAGAATTATTCTAGGAGACAGAACCCACACTATGACGACTCCCATATTACGGTCATTCTGGCTAATAGCTTATACACACCGTTTAAAGAGAGAGGAAACCGCCCTGTGGAACCTGTTTTTCCCCTTCAAGAACCGGAACGGCAGTGCCTACGATCTGCCTACTAAGTTTCGTAAACTGTTTTGGTCAACCGAAAAAGCTAGTTCATTGCACGTGACTGTCGGGGTCGCCGATATTACACGCTCTATTTTAAAAGAATAACGCGAAGCACAAGTTTGGGGGTATGTTTTCCATTCAATTTCCCCGTCAGTCTAAGAGGCGCAAAGTTAGACCTTTTTAGTGGCCGTTCGATTGCGCTTGCTGAGACCGTTAGCGCAAATTATGAAAAAAAAAAAAAAAAGCCATCTCGGTGTCTAAACATTTAGACAACGCATTTGTATTGAAGTTCGTACACATCATAGAACTGAGATGGTCATTTTACAGCGGAGCTGTTAAGGGCTAGATTCCTTGTACGTGTCCGCCAGCAAACAAATGATGACACAAAACTCTGGACAGCTACCGCCATCTATGAGCGACGGCAGCAACTAGACAGCCCTCTTGTCGGTTGTCTGGTTGCCGCCGTCGCTCATAGATGGCGGCAACCTTTCCAGCCTTTCCACTCTGGCTTGTCGACTTGCAGCCGGCCATTACTTTATTCCCATCATACTACAGCTTCGCTGGTCTTCTTTCTTCATCAAAGTGGAAAGGCCTGAAAGTTTTTATTTTATTTCTCTTGTCAAGGACTAACGTAATTTTTTTTCCTAGTTTTTACCACAGCTGACGCATACCGCTTAGGCGCTCGCCTCAAAGCGATGCCGATTTAGTAAAGCATTTAGGTTTTAAAGGCAGCGACGGAAAAATAGACGTCGAAAAAAACGGAGACCACCAAGCGCAAATTACCGTGCTAGAGGCGCATAAGTCGAGGGAAGAATAAAGTGCTGTTTTTCTTTTTTATCTCAATCCGAAGGGCCGAGAGTGTGCGCACCTTCTTGCGAAGAGACACCACAATCACACGGATTGTAACTCTCGATTGTGGAGACTTGTAAATGAATGCTTGTGCCAAGCAGTAGTATGCAATTATTTATTGCGCTCCAATTATCGCGCATTTAAAAGTAAACTATTAAGAGGCTTAACCTTACTATTTTTTTTTTTTTCAAGTCGGAAAGTCGGTAAGTGTTGGAATAAAAGCTTTGGCTAAGTGGCGTAATCTGCCGCCCGATTAAAAAGAGCCTTAAATATATCCATCCATCCACAATGGTTGTCAATTAGGTGTATTTGTCGTAACCGCGAGTAAAGATCCCTCCATCTTTGTCAAGCGATATATACGGCGGGACGTGCACTAAAAAGCGCCACTAAAGTCCCCTCCATCCCCCCCCCCCCCCCCCCCCCCCCACACGCACACACACATCTCGCTGGGCCGGTTAAGGCAGATAATAAAAATCCATTATATTTAAAGGTCTACGCGTACACCGCGCGGCAAAGTTATCGCGAATACGACATCGATGCACCGTTCCGTCTTTCTCTATTTTTCTCTGTGACTCTCTCCCCTGTTTTTTTCTCTAACTCTTTACGGAGTAGCCGGTGCTGGTTCTAAAACCACTGATTTATACAGACTATATATATTTAAAAATCGTTGTTCGCATTTTTTTTTTTCACACAAAGTAGCGACGAACGCCAAAAATGACCCCTGATTTGGTGCCCGGCGTAAGCGCATTGCGTCTAACCGTCAGCGTATACCGCAGCTCAGAGCACTGGAGCGAACGAAAGCCCGTGCTACAAAAGTCAGTATTTCTTAATTTTCTCTTCATCCCTGCCAGTTTCGATCTGGACGAGCATCGTACCGGCGTGCCGCCGTGCATCACTACCGTGTTATACATGTTAAAGGCCCAAATCTATATAGCACTCGTACTGCAGAGGCTAACCGCCGGATTCAGAAACCTCACTCAAGCTACACTCAAACTGAAGGGCCCCTTCACTTCCTCGAGGAAGGCGCGAGGGCCGGCGCTGGCCAATCGCGAGGACGGATCCGCCGTCGCGATTGGCCAGCGCCGGCCCTCGCGCCTTCCTCTAGGAAGTGAAGAGGCCCTTCAGTTTGAGTGTAGCTTGAGTGAGGTTTCTGAATTCGGCGGTTAATGTCTCATCTACAACGCGGACCATTGTCCACAAACTATAATCGACCTCACGCCATTTAAGTGTTTAACGTCCATTCCACGTTTTTAGTAATTTTGATAGCAGACTTTACGCTGTGACAAGAAAGCAGGAAAAAAGAAAAAGAAAAGTAAACGATTCCTTTGTTATTAAAGGGGCCAGCCACTCAATGATCTTTGACATTTTTTGAAATTTGCTCCATGCTTCATAAAATCTAGGATTTAAGCGACAATAGGCGAACAGATAGGGACGTAGTCATTAGAAAACCGCTCGTGCTTTAGTCGGTATATTTTTTGTTTTAATTCAGCCTCGGTTTTTAATTACATGTTCAAATTTATCCGGTTCCACTCTCCTTTACTTCCGCTCTAAACGTCATGCCTCCTTTAGAAGATAAGCTTAGAAGTATCGGCACTCCGTTCCTCAATTTTCTCGTGGTAGCCGCCATTTTGGTACTTACTGCAGAGTGGGTGCAATCGGCGATAGTTACGATTAGAAAAAGGCAAATTTCTGTCTGGGGGTTAGATAAGGTGTCATAAAGCTCAAGCAATATCATTTTGCTTTGCCGAGAACTGTGTTTAACGTTTCTGTGGAACGGAAAAGCTCTTCGTGCAATTTCGGTTGACTCGAGATGGAGCTGAAGTGGGTTTACTCCGAAGCCCACAGCTTATTCAGTGCGCGGCAAGAGGACCAGCAAGTTCCCGATCTCCCGAGCTTTGTTCCCGGGGTCCTCGAGTTCGCGGCATACAAGGAAAAGCTTTCGTGCCAAAGGGCTTCTCACTCGCAGCCGGCACGTCGACCCGGGCGGTAGACGGCAAGGGGCCACGCGGAGTGGACTGCCAACCAACAATGCGCGTCGGAACACAACGCAGTGCCAGTTGTACACGCCACACGAAACCTCCTGGCGTCTACATATATATGAAAAAGCAATGGCTTTTTCG